ACTTTCCATGCTATTTAAACAAAAGAGACACAGACTGTGTGTGTGTGTGTGTGTGTGTGTGTGTGTGTGTGTGTGTGTGTGTGTGTGTGTGTGTGAGCTCACCGCAGTGTGTCTCGTCGCTCCAGTCGTCACAGTCGTTGTAACCGTTGCACACCAGTTTCTGAGGGACACAAATTCCGGTCGCACACAGGAAGTTGTCCTTCCCGCCGCACACAGCTGCCGACCAATCAGAGAGCAGACAGTCAGGTGATGTCATCGTACCATGTGATGCTTACCTGCAGCAGCAGGTGTGGTTGTGACTCACAGGGTTTTCCTTTGATCTGACGGGGTGAGAAACAGGCAGGAGGCGTCAGGCCGCTGGTTGCCATGGGCGACGACGGCGACGAGGCGTTCTGACTGAACTGTGAGCATCGCAGGAAGTCGGGCCAGGAGGCGTTAAACATCTGCAGGACGGGTTCACAGCCCTCCCTGGCCGCCTCACAGAACGACGCGCAGGGCAGAACCACCTTCCTGCAGGAGCACAGCGGGTCAGAACCCGGACAGAACCTGGAAAACCTGGAGGGAACCTCACCTAGACCTCCGGTGCTCCGTAAGGACCTGGCTTAGCCAAAGTTTGATTCTGACTCTCAGTCTGAACTAAACAGCCTCAGACGGTCTGATGATGCTCTGAACTCTGAATGTTTCTCATCCAGCCACCAGCAGCATCGTGTCTGAAAGAACCACGGCTGGGATGGTCCTGGTGTTTAACTGAAGACTAAACTGTAGAGGTTTTGGAGAGAGGACCCTGGATCAGAGGTGAACCCGTCCAGGAACAACCAAAGCTCAGCCCTAACAGGAAGTCTCTGCATTATCCATGTTCTCCAGTGAGGCCCTTCAAACCGCTGACAGGAAGCATGACCTCATTTCCTCTGAACCTGACCTCATGGTCCGGTTCCTCCACCAGCTGGACTTCACCGGATGTTAACGAGGTTAAACCCAAACGGCTCAAGTTCTGATGCGTCTCAAGGCATTTTCTGTCCTCCAATCAATAAACGATGTTGTTCAGAACCAGCAGCTCCACTCTAACCGGACCTGAGCATTGGTCCATGGAGCTACAACTGAAGGGAATCAGAAAAACAGCAAACTGACCCAAACCGACCGGATCCGAACCAACCCAACCCAACCACCCCAAACCAACCCACCCCTGCCATACTGTACCAACCTGACCCGACCCATGTTGTACCGCTCAGCAGGTGGAGTTCAGAACCGAGGCGCCGCCTCCTGGAGAACCTCAGATCCACTAATCTAACAAGCCTGTCCTGGCAGTTGTCATGGTAACCAGGATATTTAAACCTGCAGACTCAGCAGTAACAGTAACTTATTTCCAACGGTACTGGTTCTAGTCTCGGGTTCTGGGTCATAGATCCCTCTGGACCGGGACGACCAGAAGCTCCCAGCTTCATTAGAATCACACTCTCTGTAGAGGTCAGAGGTCATGTGGAGTTGAAGCTACTGTTACTGAAGGTGTGTGTGTTTGTGTAAATGTGTGTGTCCTAATATGTGAGTGTGTTATTCTTAGTCCTGGACTCCCAGCTGCCGGATGGTTTTCTGCCCCAGCAGCTGCTGGGGGAACGCGCCTTGCAGAGGGACTACATTTCCCAGCATCCTTTGGGAAACCATTACCAGGTCTTACCTGCTGTTGGTCCCGTCGGCCTCCAAGCACTCGGGCAGCGCCAGCGAGCAGCCGAACAGCAGGATGTGTCTGTAGCAGGACAGTCTGCTGAGGTAGCTGAAGAACCTGCAGCACAAAACGACCGGGTTCAGGTCCAAACCCGCCAGAACCGCCCAACCGACCGGCTCCAAGGTTAAGTACACAGAACCTCTGACCTGACCCGGCTAACTGGAAACATCTAATGCATTTACAGAAAGATGAAGCTGCAGTGATTCTGAACCCAGCTGACCCAAAGACGAAGAACCAGAACCAGACGACCTGTTGATGGACGTGTTTCCAGTCCAGTCAGTTCAGACAGAACCCTTCATTACCTGCAGTACGTCCAGGTGTTCTGATGTCATGACCCTCAAGGCTCAGAAGACAACCAATCAAATTAGAGCTTCTGTAGCTTTATTTTAGGGGAAGCTAAGTGCGCTAAATGTTTTCAAAGTTAGCAAAAATGCTAAAGTGCTAAATGCTATTAGCAGAAGTGTGCTGCCTCATGTCAGTGTGAAGCGGTTACCTTAGCAACATGTCGACCTCTGAACTCTTCACCACGGCGACGGAGGAGGACAGCCAGGTCTGATTGTAGGGCAGCATGTGGCACTGAGGCTCCAGGACCAGCTGACACCGACCTGCAGGAACCAGAACCAGAACCAGAACCAGCAGGATGAGGCTGCAGCTCCAGGAACAAATCCCTGGAGCTGTTGTACCTCCCACGACCAGCAGGGGGCGCCACGACCCAGCAGGTCTGCCTCAGTCCAGCCCCGATTCTGCTGCAACATCAGCCTGACCTTTCACCCCTGAATGTTTTCTACAGAGTATCTATGCTAGTAGGGAAGCTAACGCTAACGTCCAATCACAGCCTGATGCAGCCAGGACCCGTTAAACTGCTGCAGAACCTCAGAGGACCCGGTCCGGTCCGGTCCAGTTCGGTTCTGTTCAGCAGCTTTAAACAGCTGGAAGGTTAAACATCCACTGAGTCTGATGAGCTCCCAGCAGCCAATCAGAGCTCAGGACAGAGCCAGGCTCATCAGCATTCACCTCAACGTCCCGTTGAGACAGAGAGACACAGAGACGGCAGAGGACGGAGACGGACGGAGACGGACAGAGGGACGGAGACGGACGGAGACGGACGGAGACGGACAGAGGGACAGACAGAGGGACGGAGACGGACAGAGGGACGGAGACGGACAGAGGGACGGACAGAGGGACGGAGACGAAGGGAATCTTAAATCCATCGATCAGAAATGAACTCTGCTCTGTTTGCTGCTTATGGATCTGAACCCGACCCGGTCCAGGTTCTGCTGGTCCACCAGAGTCCCCACAGAGACAGACGGAGTCAGCAGAGGACAGCTCAGAACCGTCTTATTGGATCAACACCACAGACAGGAAGTGGCTGCAGCCCTGGAGGATTCTGGGAGTCGTTGTCCTCCTGCTGCTGAAGCTCTGCAGCAGGTGCCAAACTGGAGGCTCGGGGGCCACATCTGGCCCACCGTAGCTGTTCATGTGGCCCTCCAGACTCCAAATGACACCAATAAGTCCTCACAGTTTTTCACAAATCCACAGAATTCACACAAAACGAACAAATCTCCACATTTTCTTCTGATCTTACTGCAAACTTTCTCAAAATTGGTCCAAACGTTGAGTTTGAGTGACGCTGCATCAGACAGCCTGACTTGGTTTAATAATCCGTCATCGATACGAGTCATAAAAAGTCACATTTAACATCCTACATTATCATAAATCACGTTTCCTCATTGGCACCACAAGATCTGATTTTGATTAAAAAAACAACCAGAGAATCCTGGAGGAACATTGATTTATTGATTTATTGATTATCTTTATTGATGGATTCTGGATGAACCGGCCCTTTAAGATCATTCAGATCTTTGATTTTGACGCCCTGATCAACATGTAAGCTTACCTGCGTCTGGCGCTGGGGTGGAGCTGCTGGCTGGCCTGGCGGTGCTCAGTGATGTCACCGAGGCCAGCCAATCAGGAAGCCGGGTGGCCAGCTGGGTGGGCGGAGCCTGAGAGGAGGAGGGCGCAGCAGCAGGTGTGCTCTGGCTGTGGTACGCTACCTGTCCCACCTGGCTCCTCACGGAGGACGAGGCGTTGGAGGGGGACGCTGTGCTGTTGCTATGGTAACCATGGCTGCCGTCGGCGACGGACCCCAGGGAGGGGAGGGGCCTGGAGTCCAGGGGGGCGCCGCCGAAAACACCTGAGGAGACAGAGAACGGGTCAGACTGGGACCCGACCACAACCAGGACCAGAACCAGGACCAGATCCTGAACTGGAACCAGAACCAGAGAACTGAACCAGAACCAGGACCTGAACCAGAACCAGGGCCAGAACCTGAACCAGAACCAGAACCAGAGAACAGAACCGGAACCGGAACAAGAGTGTTTCTCTGTATCAGAATGCCTTCATTTCTGATTCTGGTTTTGTTTCCTGACATTTTATCAATCCTGCAAAGAAACAAAAGGACCCAGAAAGCCGGACCCGTTACCATGGTGACCCGGCTGAGTGTCCTGTGTTTTTGGTAAAATCAGTGAATGTAAAAATAAATGAGTCACTGACAGATCCGCTCCTCTTCCTCACTGCTGAACCGCGAAGAGCGTTTCTGTCTGGTTTCATCAGGAAATAAAACTAAATGAAAAATTAGAGGGAACTTTGAGTAAGATCATCATCATCATCATCATTAACATCATCATCATCATCATTAACATCATCATCATCAACATCACCACCATCACCATCATTATCATTAACATCATCATCATCACCACCATCACCATCATCATCATCATCACATTCTCCCAGCTGAACCAGTAACTCCTTCATCCAGATGAAGGAGTTACTGATCTGAATCTCTTATTACTAGATAAAATGTAACTTATTATTTCTGAAACAAACCTCTGTGTGTCTGATCCGCCTCGGGCCGCAGCGCTCAGACTGAATCCAGACTTCCTGTCTGGATGCTAACATGCTACATGTTTCTCTGGACTGGCCTCCCAGTAACACACAGGAATAAAACCAGTAACTGAGGTCCAGTTCGGCTGATTAAAGGCCAGAACCTCAGAACTGATTTACTCCGTTTGGTTTTAACAGCAGAACTGAAGATACTTTACTGCCAGAACCACTCATCCTGAGTTTTGATTACTGCTGCCCCCGCTGGTCAGGAGGCCTAACTGCAGCCTGTCCTTGCAGCAGCGCCACAGAACATCATGGTGGACCTTCTGCAGGATTAATAGAGCAGATATCTGTTCACTAAACTCCCTGATGGTCCAGATGGGTTGGTCCACAGAGGTCAGGGGTCAGTGCTGACCTCTGGGGCGGCTTTCTGGGTAAACCTCCTGTATTTTCTGTGAGTTTATTTTCAGAGATGGAGGAACATCTGCTGAGCATCTATGGCAACAGGAGCTGCTTTGTCTTCCTGCTGCTGGAGCGAATGCCGGCGGCGGCAGAGACACAGAGATGAGGAGGAGGAGAGGAGAGGCGTCACGCATCATTAGGCGTCTAATGGAGAGACTCCATGAGGGAGGAGGAGGAGCAGGAGGGATTAGACTGAGATACAGAGGAAGAAAAGATGTTAAACACCACAGGAGAGGAGGATGGAGGGAGGACAGCAGCGCCTGCTTCACTACCTGCCTAAACGTTTGACATTCCTTCACTGAGCCTGGCTCTGATTGGCCGAGGGACTCCCCGCTGTCATGGCGACCAGATGAAGCACGCACAGAGAAACAGAAACACGGTTAAATCAACACAGCATGTGTGTCATCTGTCCTCCTACACCTCCTCTGTCCTCCAGCAGGAAGAACTGGAGATGGAGGGATGGAAGGATGGAGGGATGAGAGATGGAGGGATGACGGGATGGAGGGATGAGAGATGGAGGGATGAGGGGATGGAGGGATGAGGGGATGGAGGGATGAGAGATGAGGGTAGGACCAGAAATCAAAGAGAAGAAGTGAGGAAAACAAGGGAAGGATGAATGAATGGTGGGTAAAAGAAAGGAGGAAAACTGATGGAGAGAAAGTGAAAGAATGAAAAGAGGAGGAAAGGTTGAAAGAAAGAAAGAATAATGACAGGATGAACTGGAGTGAAAACATGAACATGACATTACACCTCCTCTCCCTCTGTGGTTCTGACCCGGTGCTGCGGTTCTGACCCGGTGCTGCGGTTCTGACCCCTCCCCCCAGGTGTGGCCCCTACCTGTCAGGGCCAGGCCCAGCAGCAGCGCCCCCAGCAGGCTGACGGTGGGAAGCAGGATGTAGAGCAGCAGCAGCCGCATCTGATTGGAGGAGCCCAGCTTCTTAGGACACGCCCCCTGGTCCATCCCGGCCTCCTGGGGGGGAGGGGGGGCAGAGGGTCAGGACACACCCCCACCATCATCATCATCATCACACCCCGTCTATTTATACTCTCAGAGTTTCCACTGGACTGTTGGAGCTATTTTAGAAGTGAAGATACGAGGAGACACTCCCCACCCCAACACACACACACACACACACACACACACACACACACACACACACACACACACACACACACACACACACACACTGCTGATCCCTCTGATCCTCTGCGGTCAGTAAAATGATTTATTTACTTCCTGTGGCGTTTGGCCTGCAGCTGGAATGACCAGATTAATAATCTGATGATGGTTTAATCTGATCTATTATTAGACAATCAGAACGGATCAATTATCAGTTACATCATAAAATCTGATTTAAAGACAGAAACATTTAATCCGTCTAGCGGCTCCAAGCTGCTGATCATTGAACTCAGGATATTAATCACATTCTCTGCAGCAGTTTGTTATTAAAACAATGTTGGTGTTGTAATTCTGATTAATATTATTAGTTTTCTGCCATATTTCTTCCTGTTTCCATAATAAACTGTTTTTATGGGGTTTTATTCCCAGGATGGAGGAGAATTATTTCAGTTTTTGGTTCTCAAAGCCTGAAAATATAGTTAATTATTTAGTTTTTTGTTTGTTTCTAATGAATAAAATGTTTAAAATGTACCAGGATCACCTGATTAAAGGAGAATAAGGTACGTTTACTCTGAGATATTTGGCAATTAGTCAGAACATTTAAATAAATACATTAAAAACACTTAAAATATATAAATAAATTTAAATGAATAAAAATTGCTGAGTAATAATAAAAATTAATACACAATCTAAATAATAATCTGATGCAGGTTTCTGTCTATTCTGGTCAAATTAATGTTAACTTCACATGTGGTTTTATTAACACATTCAGAAGTTTCACATGTTTTATTCTACTGAGGTGAATTAGCTCAGTGAACCTCCAGGGCTGCGGGGATTAATCTGATTATTTCCGGTTTAACGGGTTTTAACCTGCAGACAGAGAAAAATAACCAGAACAAAGGCTGATTATAATACTTTAGATTTGTTTTGGTTTCAGATCTGAAACCGTTTATAGAAACGACAGAAATCAAGTTGAAACCACTGAAAGCAAAATGAGATTAAAAAGTAGAAATAAAGAGAATTTTTTTCACTTAAATCCACATTATTGGTTTAACTACAGGAAAATTATTGAAATGAAACCAGTTTGAATTAGTTTTTGGGCTGAATCTGTCAGATTTAGATGTTGAATAATTAGAGATTAATTTATAAAGATGAAGCCAGAAACCGAGAACATCTGAGTTAAAGTGGCGAAGCTGCGATGCTGAACCGGAGGACAGAGACAAGGAGACACGGAGGGGACCGCGGCAGACGCACACGGACAGGACTCACCGCCGGCGCTCCGCTGAAGGTGACACCCGGGAAGGTCTCCCTCGGAGCGGACAACATGAGCTGCTGCTGCCGGCCGCCGAGCCCGAGACCATGGCTCTGCCGGCGGGGAGCTGCGGCTGGCGGGGGACTAGCGGGGCGGAGCGCGGTGGCCCCGCCCACAGCGGTCACTGGGAACACACACACTGGGAACACACACACTGAACACACACACTGAACACACACTGAACACACACTGGGAACACACACTGAGAACACACACACACACCTGTGCTCTCTCTCTCTGTCTCACACACACCAGGTCGGCGCCTCCTGCCTCCTTCTCTCTGCTGCCGTCAGACTCGTGACCTGAACCCAACCTGAACCCGGCCAGGTTCTGCTGGACCTCAGATGTTCTGGACACCAAGGACCGGGAACCTGCCACAGATTAGCGGTCCAGAATGTCCAGGTTCTTCTGGACTCGGTACCAGGCTCAGGTTCAGATTGATACCGATTCTAAAGGTTCGGGTCCAGATTAAGGTCTGATTTCATTTAGATTCTAATCTGGAGTCGGATCTGGAATTGGGTTTGAATCTGGACCTGGTTCTGAACTCCAGATTTAAATCTGGATCCATATTTATTCAGAGACCAGACAGAATCGGCTCTGGGTCGGTTCTGACTCGGTTAAAGGTCTGGATTCAGTTGGTTCTAAAATCCAGATTAATCTGGATTTTAACAGTGGTTGGTCATCTGGGTCCAAACTCAGGAACTGGTTCCTGTCTCGGTCCAGGACCTGATTAATGGATCCTGATCCTAACATCAGAACCTCAATCTAAACCCGATTCCAGATCAAGTCAGAATCCAGATTAAAGCAGCAGATTGGATTTAAATCCAGATCCAGAGATTAGTTTTAGATTGATGTGAACATTTGGGTCTGGATTGGTTCTGGTGTAGAATCATCTCTGAGCTCAGATCTAGATTGGTTCTGGACTGACTATGATTCTGGTTCTGGACTTTAATCTGGATTAAAACCAGGATTTAGATCTCGACTCTGGTCGGTTCCAGTTTAGGTTCTGGATTTTGATCTAAACTGAATGTTTTAATCTGCATCCAGATTAAGGCTGGAAACTGGGCTCATCCGGGTCTTCGCTCTGTTCTGGACCAGCAGAACCGGTAAAACCAGTAGAACCAGTCTGGATTTAAACTGGGATGTTCAGAAACGCAGATCTCTGCTCCAGTCTGGCGTCGCGTCCTGGCAGAGTGGACCTCACTGAGGAAACGAGTCACTATCCAGAACTGATAAAGGTTCTGGTTCCGGGTCGGTCCGGTTCCTCAGCCTTTCCCGGTCAGACCCAGACGGCCCAGTTGACCTAGAGACCCGCTAACCAGTAAAGGGTTCATCTCTGATGTTCTGAAGGTTTGGACCAGAACCAGAACATGAGGCAGCAGCGCGTCCCTCCAGAGCAGCAGAGGTTCCCTTACAATACCCAACGGACCTCGGTACCAGCAGGTTTGGACCCGGCCGTTCCAGCAGAACCATCGCCATTTGGACCCGGCAGAACCAGAACGTTCTGCTGCTTTACAGACACATGAAGTCTCCTCTGCTCATTGTCGCCCCCTGCTGGCCGACGGCTAAACGTCCAGACGGGTCAACAAAAAGGTCAGATTTAAACCGGACCGCTGGGGTCAGGAGGTCATGATGGTCAATGATGGCAGCATGGAGGTCAGAGGTCAGAGTTTATGGTTTATTTCTCAAAAACAGAAAGAAAATCATGAAAGAATAAAGATTTTACAGGAAAAACATTTTCTCCAGTATTCTGTGAAACGGCCGTCTCTGATTGGTCTGAACACAGATGACCTTTTGACCTCCTGTGGAGCTCCAGGGGTCATTTTCAGTTTGATAGGCAAGAAAAGTTACAAAGTTAACAGGAAATAAAGAAAAAGAGGAAGAAACACCAGCTGGAGGACCAGCGTCTGATCTGGAGGATTCATTTAAATCAAAGAAGAAGAAAACATGAACCGTTCCCGTTTGTTCTGCAGCTTCTGGATGAGAGGGGTGACCTTTGACCCCTCAGGCCTGGCTCAGCAGGTAGTAGGCAGCAGCAGACAGCAGAGCGCCCCCCAGTGGCAGCAGGAGGAAGGTGGTGCACCTCCTCCTCCACCTCCTGGCTCGCTCCTGCTCCTCGTCCACCTCCTCCCTCCGGCCGCGCCGCTTCGACCTCCGACCTCCTCGCTGCTGCCGCTTCTCAAAGGCCTCCAGCTCCTCCTGGTGGAGCAGAGGGAGAACGGCAGGATGAAACCTCCGGACCAGAACCGGGTTACTGGACCAGAGGTCGGATCAGCAGAACCGAACCTCCCTCTAAGAACCCGGCTGTCCTCCAGACTGACCTGAAGCTTCTTCTGCTCCTCCTCCAGGGCGGCTTGTTGCTCCGCCTCCTTCACCTGGAGGACAAACACAGTCAGACCAGGTGTGTGACTCCAGGTGTGTGTGTGTGTGAGACTCCAGGTGTGTGTGTGTGACTCCAGGTGTGTTTGTGTGTGTGTGTGACTCCAGGTGTGTGTGTGTACCTGGCTGGCCTTCCTCTTCTGGTCTTTGCAGACGAGGTCACACTGAAGTTCGCTCTGAGCCGCCAGAGAACACATCACTTCCTGAAAGGACAGCTGGAGGTCACATGACGCTCTCAGCCAATCAGGAGGCTGGTTTATGCAGATTTATGACTTCATCAAGGGATTTTTATTTACCGCCTTTTAAATTTCACATAATTTGGATATTTTCACATCTATCTAAGAACCTTAAGGTTAAGCGCTGCTAACTAACAGTTAGCTGCACTAACAGTAAACAGTTATGCTAAACCGCAAGAACGACATGGTATTTAATGGAAGCTAATGCTAAGGCGCTAAAACAACATGGTATCTAGCATTAGCTCATGCTAAAGCGCGACATCGATGTGGTATTTAGAGTTAGC